ATTTTTCTTAAAATTTTTCATATAATTTTTTAGAATCTACTTTTAAAAAATTTCTTGAATAATTTATCAAAAAATTTCTCAGATTTTTCATATGAATTGTAATATTTTTTTTAATTCTAAGAAAATCTACATTTCTTTTCGAGAATCTTTATATATACAAATTCTGAAATATTCTAAGATTTTGTTTCTAAAAGTTATTTTTATCAAATTAATAAAAAATAAATATATATTTTTATATATCGATTTTTATATATCGCTCTATATATTTAAATTTTTTATAATTTTAATATCATTTTACATTTTTGACACAATAAAAACACTTCATTAATTGCATGAAAATAATTTATTCCGTTAACAAAATATACAATACTAAACAACATGTCACAAATAAAGTGATAAATTTAGTCAACTTATAGCAATACAGAGAGCGGAATCCATAAACGTTGCTCAAGATTCGAGATGATCTCTAAACTAGTGCTTGAAATGTCTTAAGAAAACTATGAATTCCGGCTAAAGTGTTGCTTTAAAGGAGTTATATGATCATATTTAATACTGATAATGTCATAGAACAAACAAAGATAGGAATTTTAGGTATATTAAATATAGCTGAATAATTATTAGAAATGTATGACATGTCACTATCTGTGTATCTTGTCACGATTTTAATCTGCTATATTTGAAATTTTTTGGAATTTATTATCATGTTTGGAGATTATTTTTCGCTTTTGCGATTATCATAAGACAAAAATGTTTCGAAAATATACTTCTCTAAAGAAAACAATTGAGAAAAAAAACCAGATAAAATTTATTTGTTTTCTTATCAAATCTAGAACATAATGGATGTTAAACTTAATGTATCTCAACGTAGAATGTATCAAGAAGGAACGATGCTTTCTTGGCAAAACTTATCTATTTATGCGATGGACCAGAACCGACGCACTATAAGCAAACAGCTCATCAACAACGGTATTTAAACAAAATATATTATTTCACATGTAACATAAAATGAAACGGTGATGACATCTGTCGCACTTTCAGTTCGAGGTGTGGTACGGCCTGGTGAACTTACTGCGATCTTAGGCAGCAGGTAAATTATCCGTAATCACTGCACAATTAATACAGATCAATTAATGTTCGTAATCAAATTAATAAATAGTAAAACCCAGGTCAATACATTAAACGAGCTATAGTTAGGTATATATTAAATAATATTTATTAATCACAAATTATAATTTTCCAACGATAAGTTTCAACGGTACGTTTCAACTATACTTAGTCCTCATCAGCCGCAGAAATACATAAATACCAAATATATTAGGTGTACAATTTTGCTTCCGCCGTTTTTTTTCCGAAATTCGAGGCTTTATTGTAAAAAACTGGTTATACATTTATGATTCAAAGTATTGTCCATCTTTCTGGCCACTACTTTCTCCCATCTTTCGAGTAGCGTACGAATCCCGCGTCGAAAAAACTGGTCATCTTTTGAGGCTATCCACGATCGATCCAATCGATCCAATTTTTTACTTCTTCATAAGACCGGAAGTGCTGGTCAGCCAGGCCGTGTGTCATTGATCGAAACAAGTGATAGTCAGAGAGAGCAACGTCTGGAGAATACGGCGGGTGGGGTAGGACTTCCCATTTCAACGTTTCCAAGTATGTCTTGACCACTTTTGCAACATGGGGTCGAGCCTTGTCATGCTGCAAAATCCCTTTATCGTGTCTCTCGTTGTATTGCGGCCGTTTGTCTTTCAATGCTCAGCTCAAACGCATCAATTGCGTTTAATACCGATCGCCTGTGATTGTTTCAGTCGGTTTTAACAGTTCATAATACCCTATGCCGAGCTGGTCTCACCAAATACAGAGCATGACCTTGGAGCCGTGAATATTCGGTTTGGCCGTCGCCGTGGAAGCATGGCCGGGAACTCCCCATGATTTTCTGCGCTTGGGATTATCGTAATAAACCCATTTTTCGTCCTCAGTCACAATGCGATGCAGAAATCCCTTCCATCTTTGTCTTTCAAGCAGTTGTTCACAAGCAAACAAATGCCGTTCAACATCTCTCGGCTTCAATTCGTACAGCACCCAATTTCCTTGCTTCTGAATCATTCCCATGGCTTTGAGGCGTTTTAAAATGGCTTGTTGAGTCACTCCCAATGATCGTGCCAATTCTTCTTGATTTTGACACGAGTCTTGCTTAAGTAATGCCTCCAATTCTGCATCTTCGAAAACCTTCTCTCTTCCATCGCTATGCCGGACGTCAAAATCACCGTTCTTGAAGCGTTGAAACCACTCACGACACGTTCTTTCACTAATAGCGGCCTTACCATAAGTATTTGAGAGCATTTGATGAGCCTCAGCCGCAGATTTCTTCATATTGGAGCAAAAAATTAAAACCTCTCGCAAATGATGAGAATTTGGCTCGTAAACTGACATTTTCAATCGAGAATAACTTTATGATGCAGACACAAATCGACTAATCTCTTCTATGGGGTTATGTTGACAGATGCCCAAGTTTATTGTATGACGTCTATAATCTATTTATTTCGACCACCACTTATCGCTAAAGCCATCTATAGGAAAACGGCGGAAGCAAAGTTGTACACCTAATACCATGGTATCTAATTATATTAACATATTATAAGAATCATCTCACATTCGAGTTACAATAAATAATATAACAGATTTCTAAAAATCATCTCATCTTCGTGTTACAAAGGATATATCGCAATCATATCATATGTAATCAAACTTGATAAAAATAAATAATGTAGTGAAGAGTGATTCCGAATCAATTCATCGGTTAATAGCGAGAAAGAGTAGTCAGTATAAATAAATAAATAAATGAATAAATTACATCATATTAATGATGTAGCTTGATGTCATATACAATAAATCATATAAAAAAGATTGTATGTACGTCCTTAATAATATTGTGATAGATAAACTAAATAAAATAAATTATCGTTAAAATTGAAACTATGAAGACATTAAACAGTTTGTAACTTAAAAACTATCTTTAACAATAAAATATATGGTAAACCGATAATAAATTAACTTTATGTACGTGTATATATAAAAATTTCATTAGAATAAAAGCACACCGCGAAACATAAATAACAAATGCTTTAAATTTATAATGTCAATTAACAAAATTAAATAATTATCAAGGAATAAAGAATAAAAGTTATGCGATACTTACAATAATATTAGATATGGGAAAAAGTTCATGGTTTTTTTAATGCTATCTAACGGGAAAAACGCCACGAACTTTTTCCCATACCTAATATGAAGGTAAATACAAATTATATAAAGGGTCTTTCAATAAAGACGCTCGATTTTTAAATGTAAATAAAATAAGTTGTGTGTGAGATATTCACTCAATTTTTTTTATTTGAAAGAATATTTTATGGCATTAAGTATGGAATATAACGTCGCTCAAATCTGCCGCAGCTTCGCTTGGTGACACGTATTCGGGCGGTCCAATTTTCGATGACTTTCTCGCATAAATCTGGCATAAATCTGGCTGAATTTGCTGGATGGCGTTTGTTATGTTGACTTTGAGACCATCAATTGTTTGCGATTTATTCGTATAGATCTGCGATTTAAGATAGCCTCAAAGGAAGAAGTCTAAAGGCGTTAAATCGCACGATCTCGGTGGCCAGTTCACGTTGCCGCCGCGCGAAATAACAATGCCCTCAAATCGCTCGTGCAGAATGTCCATCGTGGCATGCGGTGTGTGGTACATAGCGCCATCCTGTTGGAACCACATGTTATCGGTATCCATATCATCCATTTTAGGCCACAAGAAGTTACTTATCATTGATCTGTAGCGTTCACCGTTGATGGTTATGGCAATGCCTGCTTCGTCTTGGAAGAAGTACGGATCAATGATTCCGCCAGACCAAAATCCACACCAAACAGTGACTTTCTCGGGATGCATTTGGAGCTGGTGTATCTCGCGAATTGGTATCGTCCCAAATTCGACAATTTTGCTTGTTCACATATCCATTTATCCAAAAATGGGCCTCATTAAAGATGATTTGTTTGGCGAAATTTGGGTTAACAATTGCTCCAGAATCCAATCAGCGAACACACGACGTCTATGGTCGTTTACCTTAAATTCCTGGATCAGGAACTTAACTTTTAGGAGTGCAGACCCAAGTCCCGACGCAAAATTTACCAAGTTAAAGTCGCAGAAAGGCCAAGTTCTTGTGAACGACGAGAATTGACCGCCTCGGGTTTTCCCGTACACTCTCACGCACAGCAGCAATGTTATCAGCAGACTTGCGTTTCAGCGACATATTGATGTTGGCTGATTTATCGAACCGGTTGACTCAAATTTGGCCACCAAACGTCGAATAATCGATTCGGCAGGATGGTTGTGGCGAGGATAAAAATCACGTAATGCGCGGAATGTTTCTCGAACAGAGCACTGATTCTGATAATAAAATGATTTTATGATTTGCATACGTTGCTCAACATTATGAGCTTTCATGGTGATTTGCCATACACTACTAAACAATTCACAACCAATTTGACAGATGTCACTTTAACAACATGGCTACTATGATCTAACAAATTTCGAGCGTCCCTATTGAAAGATCCTATATAATGACAAGTTAATATTAATTTCCAAAGCATTCGTGAAACGCTATTGCATTATTCAATTCTTATTTAATGAACGATATAGAATTAGACATAATAATGCTTTAATGCTCTCACCGAATATAGCTCAAGAATATAATGTGCTCTTAACTTAAGTTTTATATAGAATAATAAAAAATTGTACTTGTCAAGAAAATCTCATTTAAGCCATGTTTCGATATATGTAGCAGTATTAAAAATCTAGAGAAAACTAGAAGGGAGAAAGGGAGAGAAGGAGGGAGGAATAAATGTAACATGAGACAAAAGTAACACATATTATAAAAAAAATACCAATTGACCAATAATTATCACTTTCCATCTTTATATATCAATTATATTCTTCCTTCAGTTACTGAATATTACAATACGTATAAACAAGCGAGTTTTAATTTTACTGTTTTATTGAAATATTACATCGAAAATAAGTTTTTAGTATCAGTTTCAATTATACTTTTAATTATATTAAAGATCATGATCTTGATAACATATATTAAGGTTAAAATCATCTGGACTAACTCTATTGATATATTTACAAAAAAAATTTAATTTATTAGTTATAAAGATAAAAATTTTAAAAATTTGTTTATACTTATAATTAAGTACTCTTATAATCATTCTATTTTTATTTTAACCCTTACTACATACTTTTGAGTCATTCGTGTCCTGCGCATTTTTTTTCTTTGAAATCTAAGAGCACTTGGTCAAATACTCTCTTCTATTCTTAAAAAAAAATTTGGCATTTAGAGAACAAGTTTTGTGCATTGATCCCAATTTGTATACCTCATTGCGTGCATCCTTTAACTAAAATAATTCCGAAGTTCATTTCTGGGTAAACACAAATGATCTATCGTGTGTACATTTTTTTTAACAAAAAAAAATTTTTTTTTTTCTATTTTCAACTAGTTCTTGTATTGCGAGAATATTCGCGAATTATTAAAAAAAATTTAACCTTAGAACAAATTAGCCTATAGTAAACATGGCACCCTGTTAAATATTGTCTGTAATATTATATATTATGTTATCTGTAATGTTATAAAAAACATTTTCCTAATAAATTATAAGTTTTTTAACACGTAGCAATAATAAAATACATTGTTTAAAATGTAAATGCAATTACAATATCTTCAATGTATAACCATTCATGTATATTAAAAAAAACATTTTCAAGTTACTAAATAATTCATTTTTTTGACAGGCATAGTTAAACTATTTTTTCCTTTTGTAGTTTGGAATGTCTTTAAGATATTGAAACAATTTTTCTTTTAAACTTTTTGTTTCAGAATTTTATATTTTTGTATGCAATTTTTCTCATTTTGTTAACTATATTTAGTTATAACAATTTATATACAATTTATTATAAATATACACATCTCAGTTTTTGCCTTGCTACACACAATGGGTCTTTCGTGTTCTAGATTAATTTTTATTACTTTTACAAGTGTAAAAAAATTATTAAGTGATTTTTATGTATATTTTGACAACTTTACAAATACTTTCTAAAGCTGTCAAAATATGCATAAATATAATACATAAATATAATACATAAAAATCGCTTAATAATTTTTTTACACTTATAAAAGTGATAAAAATTAATCTAGGAATTCTAAACACGAAAGATCTATTGTGTGTAGCAAGGCTATCAAAAATTGAGATGTGTACTAAAGGTTAAACATTTTTTCTATTTTTTATAGTTTCAAGGATATTTTTGCTTCAAAAGAAAAAACCGATTTTTTTTTCTAAGAGATGTTTCACTCCTTAAAAATGTGACATCAAAAAATTCATGTCTCTTATTATTTTTGTCTATAAAACAACAAATTAAAAATTTATTAAAATTGTAGAAGAATATTTAGGAAATATTTGAGGGGAATATCTTTTCCTTTGGAAGATAAATAAATAAAATACATGTTAATTAACATATCATATATGTTAATGTTACTGAAAAAATATATATTTCCATATGTAATTTGCTTACAAATTGTGTCAGTGTTACACCTGTGTTAACTTTTTACATAATATTTGTATTATTTTTTAACATATTCTGCATCTTGTATTAAATTAAAAAATTGATTTGGGATTCGTGAAATGTGTTAAATTTAACACAAATTTCCCAACTGTGTAGCGGTGCTGGAAAAAGCTCGCTGATGACAGCATTGGCATTTCGCGCAGAATGTAGGTAGAATTCTCATATAATTGAATCTTTAAAGAAGACGAAGACATTCGAAACTTGTTTTTTACTTGGATTGGCAGCCGGCGTTGTGGTGCATGGCGATGTTCGCATCAATGGCATACCAGCCGACTCTTCATATATGAGACGTCATAGTGGCTTTATGCATCAGGAAGACATGTTTATCGAGACGATGACGGTACTCGAGCACATTTGGTTTATGGTGAGATAATTAAACCCAATATATATAACTTAGTACCTAATATGGCCTACTTGTTGTTTGTAGATACTCAGCCAAACATCAATTTACATAATATAACGACCTGTTAATTATAATTTCCCAATGTGACTTTAATATAACTCACGTTTTATATTTTAATTGTATCGTTGAGTGAGAAATTACAGTTAACAGAGGTACGTTACATATATAACTAGTTGCATGGAATTTGCTGAGAGTTATGGATAGTTAGAATAAAATCATCCAAGAGTACGCACTCTTAAGAATTTGCATTGAATTTTAAGATGTAACTATAACAGGCTTTTTTACAATAAGTTATTATCAAAACTTTAAATCTTAAGTCATAAAAAATTGACAAATCATAATCGATTGTGCTTACATATATATAATTCTCACATATAACTGTGACTAGTCCGTAATTTCTTAAGACTTAAAGCTTAGGTAATGGTTTATTGTAGAAATCCTATTACACAGCAACTACAACTCACATAGAACATACTTTTTTAGTTAGCTAATCTGTGTATAAAAGTATTTAAAAATTCTTAATGCTTAAATAGACCATATATTGGTACCTTCACTTTAAAACTTCAAATCCAAACATTACGCGCGCTATATCTTTAACAATCTTTATCAGGCCAGAATGAAATTAGACGGGAGAATTCATTCCTCGGACATTCGTCTCAGGATCAATCGTTTGCTGAGAGACGTCGGTCTGATTGATAGATCTGATACTCGCATCGGTGACGGTAACAATGGTAAGATTCTGTCAGGTGGAGAAAAGAAAAGACTTGCCTTCGCCACTGAGGTGCGTATCCGCGTGTAATTCTAGTCTTTAGTAAGCTTTGTGTAAATTTCCGGTTTTCCTTCCAGCTATTGACGGACCCCGAAATACTGTTCTTAGACGAGCCAACAACCGGATTGGACGCACATTCGGCTAGTATCCTCGTATCGCACATGATCTCTTTCGCATTGCGTAATCGCACGGTTTTGTGCACTATACACCAACCAAGTTCCACTATCTTCGATAGCTTCCATCGTATAATCTTTTTAGCTGACGGTAGAGTGGCATTTGCTGGTACCAGTACGCAAGCAATACAATTTTTCTCCAGGTATACATTTCATCGTTCGGACATGAAATAGAGAAAATCTTAATTTTATTGACAATAAATTGGTATGTAGAATATACAATATTAAACTTCCTATAAAAGAATCTAGCCACGAATGATTTTGTCAAAATTCTACAGAGAAAGGTGTAGCTGTATACTTTCTCCTTGTACTATCTCACTCTAACTGTCTCACTTCATCTTAATTAAAGTATATAAAGGGAAAATGTATATATATATATAATGTCGAAGTTATAGAGTATTGAAATAAAAAAATATCGTAATACATTGTTTTAATTAATGTTTGTTATTCTATTTAATGCTCTGCCAGAAAAATTTTACGAAAAACTACATAGCTTAAGACAAGATCTTAGAAATTCTTAGTTTTTCGTAAATGTTCGTAATGTAACATAAAGTGGTGTTGTTTGTTTGAAAAAACAAGAAATCCTTTGCTTTTTAACATCTCTCTGATGAAAATAAAACGTAAAGCGAATGTCAATAAAACGTTAATGGGAGTGTAAAGAAAGCGTAAGGAGGAAGTAACAGAAACATAAATGAAACCCGTAAGAAGCGAAAATTGGAACATAGAACGTAAAGGAAGCGTCAACTAAACGTTAAAGAAACATAAATAAAAGTATAGATAAGTTCTTCGGCAAGCACGAATAGAATGTTTGTTGAATGTAAACAGAGCGTAATTAGGCACTCTAGAGAACGTAGACGGAGCATCGTCGAGTTCTTAAAACGTGAATGAAATGTAATCGAGGTCCTTGATAAGCAAATAATATTTTAAAATATATTTCATTTATTCGGTGAACATCTAAAAAGAATATATTATACTCTCTTCTTGGAGCCCTAGGGCCTCACTTTAAAAAATTATTTCATTAGAATATAACTGAAAAATCTTTCAATGCTACATCTTTATCCTAGTCTGTGCGGTTTTTTAAAGTTCGAGAAGTTAATTCTCGTTAAGTCCCTCTGGTAGCGGTGCCGCGTACTACTCAACGACGCTTCGTTTTAAAATAAATTTTTTTATTTCTATATCCTGGAAGCATACACAAAACGTATTTGATTGCTCCGTGTACTTTTTGCCGAACGTTTAGGAAGCGTAGACGAAGTACTAATAATGAATGAAGTGTTTAAGAAGTATATCAGTACGCTCCATGTATTCTTTGCGGAGTGTTGAAGAACGTATGAGAAATGTTAATAAAAAAAAAAAATTTTTTAACATGTGGAAAATATGACAGATGTGTTTTGGGTACACTTTACGGAGCGTTTGGGGAGAGTTCATGGAGCGTATATGAATATTCAAAACCACTAAGAGTCAATGGAAAGTCAATGAAGTGTTTAAGAAACGTTAAAATTCTTTGTTCACACTTCTTTGACGTTTCGACAAGATTTATATTTTTATTAGAGACTTTATGTTACTACGAAAAATTAATTTCTAAGACAAACAAACCCTACTTTACATCCTACAAATAACTAGAAAAAATTAAAAATTTCTAAAATCTTGTCTCAATCTATGTAGTTTTTCTGTACTTTTTCATAAACAGTTTTTTCTTCCAAGGTGCTTTACAAAAAATGTTAAAAAATTTCTTCATCAACATCAACACACTTTCTAGCACGAATTAATAAATTGTTTCGGACTTTTTGAAAAATATTTAAAGTTTCATGGGTAATATCAGTAATATTAAATATCATTTTCCGTAATTGTTCTGAATTCTGAATCTCATTTTGAGAACGAATGATCTAGAAAAATCTAGTGATAGTCTATCAAAATAAGATTCAGGAATCAAAATAATAGAATAAAAAACATTAAACAACATTTATTTCGATTCATGTTTTCTTATTTTAATACTCCATAACTCTTAACTCGAAACCGTTTGAAATTGGACATATGTTTATTAGACTTGTTTTCATATGCTGAAGTCGCTGTAGCAGTTTTGAGCACTATGTGAAGGGACATCCTATATATTATATAAATTCTGAAATATTCTGAAATTTCTCATTTTATAATTTTCAAAGAAAACTTATAAAAGCTGAAGAAATTTAAAACGTATTTTTCAGAAATATACATACATTTAAAATATTACAAATTAAATATTGTGATGATATGAGAATTTTTTTTACCAGAAATTCTTTGAAAGAAGCTACATTCTGAATATATTAGATTAAATCATTCACTGTCATTACCATTGTCACCCATAGTCAAGGTTACGAGTGTCCATGCAATTATAATCCGGCCGATTTCCTGATGGCGACTCTAGCAATCGCACCCAGCGGTTCGGACGGTAGCGGAAAAATTGCACAAAAGATTTGCGACGCATTTCTCACGAGCGAAGCATGCAACGAGATCGATGTTATATTACAACGGGAATTCGATACTGCTTGTTTGCAGCGTCACGTAAGTAGAATTGTTACGTAGACAAATATTAATGATTGATTTAAAAGAAATCACACAGAAATTCATCCTTTTATTTCAGACCGGAGAAAATAGTCGCGAAACGCGAGCTTTGTGAGTATCTCATACTAAAAAAAATTCATTAATAGTGCAAATATATCAAAAGTATTTAAAACCTGTATTCACAATTTACTATTTCAAGACTTAAGTAATATTTAAATATTAATATAAGTCTGTGATTGGTTTATATCCTAAGACTGTAATTAAGATATGTAGGTTTTAAATGTAAGAATGGATATGAATATCTCTTAAAATAAAGCCTAAACTCCGACAAAATCGTTTTATCATTTATATTTTAAAATG